TAGCCTACACACTTGAAATGTCTCCACTTTATTCCTATGGGCGACGTCACGCGACTTTAACGCGCCCGCAAAGCATCCCGGGAAGGCGGCGCTTCATATGGAAAAATGCTGCGCGTCATAAAGCTGGCCGATGCCCATCTTTATGCAAATGAATTCCGTTGAACGCGCCGCGACTATCCAATAGAAGTAGAGCAAATGGAGAAGGAGTGAAGTCTCTCGGAGGTCCTCTGTTCTAGACTGGCCGCTGGCTCTCGTCTATGCTCTAAACCACGCTCATAGCGGTAAACTTGAGGAACGCCCATCAAAGTGCAAATGTGGGGAGGCGTCGCGATGGACAAGTGGATCTCTACCGTAAGTTTGATATCAGCAAAGTTTGATGGTTTTCGGTCTTGCTAACTAACCTAGCAGGCAGTGCATCTCTTGCATCACTTTGTGCCTGACAAGTGAGAGTAAAATACACATTTATTACATTTGTTTTTGATAAACGACAACGGTGTTTGTTTACTGCAGCTCGGAAAACATAACCACGTCGTGCGTGTGTTATCTTGCGTTCATATGCGCGTGCACGAAATGAAACTCGCATTTTTCAATCAAAAATATTGTGGATACCACCAGACATACTGTACAACACATGCACGTGAATGATGCCACTCCCAATCAAAGTGCACATTATAAAGACACTGATTATCTAGTCTCAGTGTAGCTAGAAACTCTAAACAACTGCACTAATTATGCAAGATAGAATGCAATGTATTGAAAATTAGACATTGATTGACTATTGATTTATAGGCTATATTGAATTAAAAATGTTGATTAGCTGGACATACTGGTCAATATGGATGCACATACCTCAGTAAATAATAGCCATAAATCAAGAATTGCTTCAACATGCATAAAAAATAAAAGTCATACTGATGCTGAAAATACCCAGGCTGTAGAGAGAAGTTAATCCCAAAAGCCAAAGCTCAGGGTTATACTTTATTTTTTTGTTCTTATTTATGTTTACGTTAATATTCACTTGTTATCTTAACATTCTATAAAAAAATACTATATTCAATAAATATCATTTGTTTGAACCTCATTCTGTTCTATATTGTTGTACTTATTCTTTGACTGTTTTGTTTAGAGGAGGGAGGATTATTGGGAGCACTGAAGTGTCAGGTGTGACTGTGTGGCAATGGTTTACATAGCTCACGAGTCACAGATCAGGTAGAGGGCCCCTTAGCAAAATTTTGCTAAGGGCCCCAGGGGGAGGTCAGGATCGGCACTGGCTTTAGCAGTCGATTCTGTTCCCTACTGGAATTCCTGTGACAGCTAATTTTTAGCCTTGTAAGAAGAGTGAATTCTCTGTTTGCGCTGTTCCGGATTAGTGGGTGTGGCTTGCGGAGCTGTGCAATGTGGGGCATTGTGGGACCTGTAGTCTATCATACAAATGCGCCCCTTGGTTATTTTCTGTCTTTTCTCGGTCAAGAAGGCACCAAATTAAAAAAATATTTTACATTTCGACTTCATGATCCACTTTCAATAAAATTCATGTTGCAATGGGTGAAGTGTTCCTTTAATGTTAACATTGGGGTTTACAGTGAAGTTGTTGTTTTTTTCAGTGCAGCCTATATTACACAATATTGTGGTAGGCTATAATTCCGCTTCACGTCTGACTTAAGCTAAGTCTTCCCTTTTTCTACACCTACATATGTATACCTTATTAGCCGTCTCCACTTCAACACTTGCTTATGAAAGTATATAATTTGGAAATAAGATTTGTTCCACTAACCTGCTGCGCTGCGGTAGACCGGCAGACTCCAGACAACGCCTTTGCGTATAGGCTACACTCTCAGAAAAAAAGGTACAAAAGCTGTCACTGGGGCTGTACCTTTTCAAAAGGTACACTTTTGTCCATTTTAGGTGCTAATATGTACATTTTAGGTGCTAATATGTTCATTTCATGAGCTAATATGTCCATTTTAGGTGATAATATGAAGAGTTCAGATGCAAAAGCCTCTAAATGCCATTTGAAATTTTCTTCTAAAATGACCATTTTTATCAAGCTTGTATATTTAAGTTCAGTAATTTCACTTAAATGACAATTAATAGGTAAACTTCATTGCCATTTAAGTGAAATTACTGAACTTAAATATACAAGCTTGATAAAAATGATCATTTTAGAAGAAAATTTCAAATGGCACTTAGAGGCTTTTGAACTCTTCATATGTACATTTTAGGTGTTAATATGCACATTTTAGGTACTAATATGTACATTTTAGGTGCTAATATGCTCATTTTAGGTGCTAATCTGTCCATTTCATGAGCTAAACTGTACATTTCAGGTGCTAATATGTACATCTTAGGTGCTAATATGCACCACTAAGGTACCAATATGCAGCCTTTGGATACAAAAGTGTACCTTTTGAAAAGGTACTGCCCCAGTGACAGCTTTTGTACCTTTTTTTTCTGAGAGTGTACTTAACGGCCGGGAGGACCTGGGACCAATTTCAGAGAATTCCTCTCGAGATAAAAAGTACTCCAGTTTTTATAGGAGCGTGGCAAAAGTGACGTTGTTCATTTCATAATTTTTCTCCAATAGGATTGGTTCTTCACATGTATAATTCTCTGTTACTAGCTGGAAGCAAATTTGGATTCCTTGACACTTAGGTCATATATTTAGACAGACTTTTTGTTACCTATTTTAATTCTTAGACGCACTAACATTGGGGACATTTAGTTTTCAAAGCATATAAATGTTAATCCTGCAAGGAAAATAAATGTTATTAGGATTAATTAAAAAATTCTGTAACAATTTGATTTTTTGTAGTGTACATTTGTAGTGACAAATAATTTTACTTCATGTAATGCATGTTCTTGCTAGAATAAATTACTTGTAAAGCACAAGTGTGCATGGTTTCCAGAGCAGTCTCACCAATAACTAAAGAATTCATTTCCATATGGGATTAATTATTTAGTTATTGGTGAGACTGCAATGAAAACTAATTTATTCTAGCAAGAACATACAACATTACATGAAGTAAAATTATTTGAAACTCGAAAAATCGAAAATATTATATAGACTCATTACATACAAAGTGAGATATTTCAAGCCTCTTTATTTGTTATAATTCTGATGATTTTTTGGCTTACAGTTTATGAAAACCCCAAATTCAAAATTAGAATATTGTGAAAAGGTTTATCTGTAATCCATAATCATCAAAATTATACCAAAATAAAGGCTTTGCAATATCTCACTTTGCATGTAATGAGTCTATATAATATATTGGTTTCACTTTTTAAGTTGAATTACTGAAATAAATGAACTTTTGCACCATATTCAAATTTTCAAAGTTTCACCTGTGTATAGACCATTTCACAAGATGTAAACAACACTGGTCCAGAAGCACTTCCTGATTCAGTTTTTTAACACTACATAAAAGCTGGGATAAAATACAACCAACAGAACATTTAAAACTGAATAAAAAAGTTAAACAAACATCTTTAAGATTTTTCCTTTACATGTGAAATAAAGAAAACAGTTACAAACTGTAACAGGAAGTGCTTCTGGACCAGTGTTGTTTACATCTTGTGAAATGAGAGACGCTTATCTCACGAGATTGGGTTTACCAAAACGAGACAAGACCGGGATTTTTGCATGATAATTTAATAGAAATCCTCATTGACATAATTTGTAACTGAAAGGAAAAAAAATAGTCTGCAGGTGCATTTTGAAATGTTTTAACAAACAATCTTCTAATTCATGTCATTTCAGTTCTACTTTATGAGTGTTAATTATCAAATGCATGAGGCTGTGTGTGACCTTCTAATTCAACTCCTTAATCTCCACATAATCAACATAGAAATACATTTTTTTCTTTGTCTTATTAAGTGCAAACGATAAGTGCAAGTGCAACCATAACCAAAGTACTCTCTCAGTATTCAAAGTGAAAAAAGAGACCAGAGCCACAACTACATATTCCAGAAATAGGTTTGCTATTGAGAGACAGGCTACTGAATGCAGCCTTACTTGTGCACATCACAGAGCTTGTGTTTTAATTTCACTTTTGGATTCACGATCACACTTTGGCTACTTTGTGTATAGAGGGAGCGGCGGTGCTCAGTTTGCGATCTTCTACAAGATAAGACATTTATCAGATGTTTATACAAATCCTGCGCCATTGTCACGCCATCAGTGAACTTTGACTCCTGCTGCACTGTGTCACCAACTTGTGCTGGAGGAGCAGAGCAGTCGTTTAAAATGTTTTTTATTTTTATAAAAACAGTAAAACGACAATGGAGGCGGGTATAGTCTAGTTTTTTGTAATGTGTATACTGTGATTTTTCCCTCCCAGCCTCATACTTATCCATCCCAAAACGACACCCCATAAGCACCACCACGTTCACTAATGCATACAGTGCATCTACATGTAATTTAGAGACTTATAAAAGACTGCCTATTTGTTAAAACATGCCAATTTATTATAAGCAACACAAGACTTTAACAGCCAATGACGTTTACTGCTGGGGAAACTGGACTTATTTTCTATCGTTTAGTGTTAATTGCCCCTGGTAGTTTACAAAGCTTTCCAAATATGTTTGTATTCTGGCATCTGAGGTGTGCATTGTCTCCCTGCTTGTTTGGCAGTGCAATGGCTTCTCTCAACCATGTTGTAAAGTACCTCCTTTGCTCAAAAAGTTTTAAAGGGGCCTCATTGATGCCGATCATCATCAAGTTACTTGCTTTGAACAACAACAGTGAGTGTAGATCTTTTGTCCATTCTGGTGATGGGCGTTATGACACAAAATCTGTATTGTGGTGAGATCTGGTATTACCTCAGGTCCTGAAGAGCCCCTGGTATCGAAGTGGCCATGTGGCCTTTTACTGTCAGGTCAGAATATCTGGATAACTATCCTCCATAGCTCATTTAACCTATAACAGTAAATCTAGCTGCATCCCTACACTCATGTGAAACAATAACTTATTCTTTACAACCATTAATTCAATTCATACTCACCCTCCTAGGAGAAGATCCTGTGGAGTCCTGGTGACTTCTTGATCTTGCAAGAATTGTTCTAATGCTCTGACTATTGCTTATAGAACTGTTTCATGTACACTGAAGTAAAAACTATAACACCTTCGTCTTAATAAAATAAAAGTTTATTTATACAAACGATCAAAGTACTGGTTACACAATGATTTATATTTGTAGCAAAATAATAAAAGGTTACAGATTATAATACTTCAGTATATCCAACTTAACAGGGCAGTCTTGTATAAGTGGAACAATTACAAAGGCTATATACCTTGTACACAGTTCAAGCAACAGATGAGAAAATTAACTTGGTCTTGTTCAGAGCATATCAAGTTAAAATCTTACAACAGAGCAATTAGATCAAAAACTTTTCCAGTAAACTGGACTGAAGAGTAATTACCTTCAGGGATGTACGCAAAAATCTCAATCAAGAATGTAACAACTAGCAGCGAAAGAGCAGTCATATTTAAACTGAACTGGGTTACATTGTTCCTTCTACAATCTGGGTTTTTTCCATCCTTGAGCAATCTGGGTTCTTTCCAACAAACTAAAGTTGTGATATAACTTTGCGACACATTAGTCGTGCAACTTCAGGTTCCGCTGGGTAGGCTTCCGGCGTGGGCACAATTCTCCTTGCGTTTTGTGTTCCTTTTTGAGTGTGTGCATGGGTATAGATCTGTACATGTTTTTGTAAATTCATTAAAATCTATACCATTCATTACAGTATCAATGTATTTTTTCTACGATTCTGTTGGCCTTGTGGTATATCAGAGTTGTCCACAGTGAACCTTTATTATTTTAATGTCAGGAGTACAGAGAATATAAAAACATTGCAAGGACAAAAAGAAAATTAAATAAAAAAAGCGAAATAATAAATTGTGGTAATCAAATCAATTTATAATACTAATTTTGTTCATCTTAAAATGTAATCAAATTAAAATTCTACATTCCTTTAAATAAATGTTTTAATAAATTGTATTATTGTTATTACTTTAAGAAGTACATTTTACTGTGCAGTTCCAATAGTTAGATCAAAATATTTTTGCGGGTTGTTGAAGGGTGTTGATTGGAATGCACTGCTGCTTCAAAGTATAAGTAATGAGTGAGTGATTATAATCAAGGTGTTAATCAATATATTTCCTTCTAAAAATCAAATGAGTTGAATGACTTCTCTGGAGATTATAGAAGCTACCAGTGTGATTACTGAAATGTTCTTTTCATGTATTCTTAGTCTGTATTTGATATCTGAATGCAGTAACAGGGCTTGCTCATTTAGCCTGGCTTCCAGAAATAAAATAAGGACTTGTTTTGTGATTGAGAAAGGTCTTCAACGTGTTAAAACATATAGGGGTCATTGAAGCCAATGAACTTGATTGATCCGCAATGGGAGGTAACGCACAGTGTTGGGTAAGTTACTCTAAAAAAGTAATTAATTACTAGTTACTAATTACCTCTTCAACAGTGTAATTAGATTACTGTACTAATTACTCTCTCTAAAAAGTATTTAATTACTTTTAATTACTAATTACTTTCAAAATCCCAGCTGAATAATACAAGGATAGACATGAATCTGTTTTAATTCTTTCAAGTAAATACTATAAATTGCATGAATTATCCTTAAACTGACCAAGGTGGAGAAGGTTACATTATAAAAACATACTTTTTAGCATCAGACGATACATTTTGATGTTAAACCCACTATTGTTTTATGTCTGATCTCATGACATTTCACACTTTTTTCATTCATATTTTACAATAATTCATACGAATTTGTACGAGTGCGGTCGTAATATTTAGACGCCTCATAAAATCATACGAATCGCTGTGAGATCAGATTGATCTATACACAGTATTTACCTCAATTACAACTAATTAAATTACAGATAAATGAAGAGTAATCCCTTACTTTACATTTTCAAGGGAAAAGTAATTAAATTACAGTAACTAATTACTTAGTAATTAATTACACCCAACACTGGTAACGCACTACTCGAGTTGGCAACAACTCAGTCACCCAACGCTTCTATCTTGTCTACAAACCATGTTGTGTCACGAAAAATCACGCAATAAAATGAACCAGAAATGACGTGAAACAGCATGCCCCCCAATACCCAGTGAAAAATACTGACCTCAACCCATGCCTTGCTCTGATTGGCTGTAGCCCATGGTTGAGTTGTGCGACAGCTCGCTGGATATCTAGCATGCTAGATATTTTTCTGGGCTCGGCGACGCGTCTGCGAAGGTCTTTGATGCGTTGTTGGCTCTTTCATACTAACAGATTGGCAAGTGTTCATCACCCACTAATCCCCCACGATTTGCATGCGATAACACCCTGACCTGTCAGCGAGCTCAACGATTTGCAAACCGGGCTTAAAATCATGTAGTGTGAACTCGGCTTAACGTAATCAAGACATTTGAGTCTCTGTCTGTTTTAATTAACCTTATTATTACATGAAGTATACTCTACTGTCCAATGGTAATATATTTCTGTATAAAGCAGAACGTCACGGAATGTGGCCATTTTTAAATTAATAAATCATAAGTAGGTTTTGTACAATTAATCAAATCTCGATATGGACTAGTGTATGTGAATATTAAAGCTCAAAAATACTGCTATAGACATCTGAAATCTGCATGTTCTTCGCGTCTCTTTAAATGAGCGCCGCAGTTTCTTCTCCACAAACTGAAGCATGTGTGACACTTGTGTTTTCAGCGTTTGCAGTCTCACTGTTTGAGGACATGAACACTTGAACTTCATCACAGAGCTACTCTGGGAGTCATTTTTTGTGACACTTCAATCTGAGGTTATTGTAATTATAGTGCTTCTATACTCATTGATCTAGCTGTGGATCTACGTCATGATTGTGAGGAGAAAGTGAAGGTGAGAGAGCGAGAAACTTGCGTGTGTGCCTCATGAAAACTACACCCCCGTCACCAATCCGTTCATCATGGACTCAAGATGATGGGATCCTGGGTTATGTGTGGCCAGCTAGTCGTCGCAGGAGATGGATTCCACCTCAGAGCGAGGTCATTGTGTGGGGCCGTGTTCGAATGGGCCGACAGACCAGCAATTACTGTGGATTGGTGGAAGCCCTGCTAGAGCCGAACGTGTTGGCCTGCACTGCCCAGACTGTAGTTATCGTTAAGGATGGTAGGATCCCTGTCAGATTATGTAATTTGCTGCCTTATAAAGTGTCTGTAGGCCGGAACCAGAGGCTTGGTCGGCTGTATGAAACATCTAGCGTGGATATCTATGGCCAAAGAGACCTTGTTTCTGAGCACAGATGGGGTCGTTGATATTCGTGTGGTGGAAGCTGGTAGCCCTGAAGAGGAGCTAACTGCTAATGGAGTGAGTCCATTGAGTCTTGGATCTGATGTAACTGACCAACAACGTCACGTTTTTGATGCACTTATGAGAAAAAGGAGTGGAGTATTTTCTAAGAATGAGGATGATTTGGTGTTCAATGAGACTGTTTAGTTCAGTTTCAGTTTATTGTCCCCACGAACAATCAAACTGCTAAGGCAACAGTCAGGGCTTTGTGGGAACAGGTTGTCCAGACGTTTGGTTGTCCTGTGAGATTCCACTCTGATATGGGCCCAAATTTTGAATCCGCATTGGTGAAAGAGTTTTGCCACTTGTACGGAACAGCTAAGAGCCAATCCACCCCTTACCACCCAGCTGGGAATGGTAAAGTAGAGAGGGTGAAGACATTATTGGGAATGCTGCGTACTTTACAGAGAGATAAGCAGGATAGGTGGCCAGAATTTCGAGTTGATGCAGGCATATAATAATACCATACATGGGGCTACGGGGTTTACACCTTTGTAAGAAATTACAGTCTGCTCCGATCAAACTTCCACTCCAATATAGATTATATTGAAATGTTCCTTCACTTGAAAGAGCTTATTTATCATAGAATCAATTCCTTACAATCTTAAACATATCACAGAGTCACGTTTATCACCTATAGTGTGGGAGCGACGGCGGATATTCAAGAACCATCTTGATTAGGGAGTTTCTGAGAGATATTATCACCTTTAAACATTTGACCGTATCACTCTAACACTTGTATCGTTCTCTTCGATTTACATTTAAAGACAGAGTTTGGAATAACAAAGACATAGACACGGAGACACCACTTGTCTCGTTCTCTTCAATTTACATTTAAAGACAGAGTTTCAGCTCCACGCTGATAGAGAAAACGAATCTGTTTGTCTTGATTTACATTTAAGAGAAAGCTTCATTTACATGCTGAGGGGGAAAACGGATGTAATACTGTATAAAATGTTTGCGCTGGGATGAGCTCGGGGTTCATTCTGACGCCGGTGAACCCAAGGTGCTTCGTGTGCCTGGCCACTGCTATGCTGTAAATAAACTTCATTTTTGAGATCTTCGACGTCCAATTCATTTTTTCTTACACCTTCGTATTTAATGGTTGGCAGTTCCTTGCAGACACCTGTAGATATAATCCTTGGAGTAGGAGACCTGCGATGTGCACTGTTGAACACACGCTATCTAACTGATAAAGCATCAGTGTTGAATGATATGATCACTGACACATGCTACTGTTGACCAAAACCTGGCAGGTTCCTAATGCCTGAACCTCCTAACTCCACCTGGGTACATCTACTTCTCTCAACCGCATCTTCATCATAGAGGTGGAGGGCTAGCTGTAGTTTGCCGTGAGACTATTAAAACTTCCAGGATCGAGTTTCACGATGTTTCAGCATTTGAATACCTAGCGTTAAAAATGACTGGCCAAACACCATTGGCTGTTATCTTAATTTACCGACCTAAATGCCACTCTGACTTTTTCTCTGCGATTAGTGCATTACTTACAGTACTCTTGTTTGTTATTCATCTGTTATTCTGCTTGGTGACTTTAATATACATGAAAACACTGCACAATGCAATGAATTGATGTCTGTACAGGACTAACTTTAACATGTAACTTTTGCTTCCCACTCCAGGGGTCATATACTGGATCTCATATGTATATCTGGCTTAAATATTATCTCTGTTAATGGTTCGGACTTTGCTTTCTCTGATGATCATAAACTCATAAGCTTCAGTTGCAGTTTCCAATAGCTATATCACCACTGAAGAAAACCCTGACTTACCGTAAAATCAATTCTGTGAATCCATCTTCTTTCCCTGCTTCAATAAGGGATTCTACCTTGTCTGAATGTCAGAGATCTGATACAACAATGCTTTGTATCAAATACTTGAATGGCATGCTCCTAGACTGGTTCCATCTACTCGTGCTTCACCCTGGTTCACTCCTCACTACAAATTATAAAAACTGAGGGTCGCCTGGAAAGACTATACAGGAGAACTGGACTTATTGTGCACTCTTTGGCTTTCAAAGAACACTTGCTCAAGTATCATACAGCCCTTAATGATGCAAGATCCTCTTATTTCACCTTTTTACCATTAGAAATTCCAAATGCAGGCCCAGATCACTATTTGCAATGATTAACAAACTCCCAGATCCACCACAACATGTTATTTCTGGCTCTGTGGGGCTTGTAAATGGCTTTTCTCAATTCTTCTCTGAAAAATTGAAGTCAATCACTACATCCATTACCAAAAACACTCCTCATACAAGTGACCCAAATGTTCATTTATGGTTAGCCGGTTCACTTAACAAACTCTCTTTCTGCTTTCACTCTAACTACTGCTGCCATAAGTGATTTAATTGTGAAGTTAAATTCCACATCCATATTTAGATATATCGAAATCGTCTTCCATTGCGATTTCCTGTATATCTAAATATCTTTAGATCTTCACAGTGAAGGGTAACACTTCCAAAATCCCTGGACGTGGCTGTGATTACAAGAGGTAAAGCTATATAAATACTGTTGGTTTTCTCACACAAACCGCTCGTTTCGTGTCTTAGGCCATCAATGTGTACTTACATTTACGAGTCATTAAATCATGTTTAATTTGGACTTCTCTGTGCTGCTCTTTGGTGGACCCCATTAGCCTCCAGTGTATGACTGATAGATAACATCGGTTTGACTGAAAAATGTCAAAATTTAAAATACTGTGGAAACAAAGACACCTACATCTTGGATGCCCTTGAGGTAAGATAAAACACATCAAAAATTAATTTAAAGTGAACTATCCCTTTAAATATACATTGGAGGATTATATTAATAATATATTGTTGAGAAGGTCGATGAAAAGCAGGCAGAGATGTACAGGTCACAGTGTAACCGTGATAAACCGCATGTCGTTGCCATCAGCGTTTGGTGCTACAGTATTTACATGAATCATTCAGCACAACATTGTTATCTCGGTTATTTACAGATACATTAATGAAGCTAAGTGACATGATGTACAACGCAGCTAGAAGCTAACGTTAACGTTTTCTAATGTTTGGCTAACGTTACGTTAGAGATTTTAAAGATAACGTTCAAATACATTGTTGACTTAACTTAGAACAGATGTAGACCTAGACATCCTTGTGTAATTTATCCACGTTTAGTTGGTGTTGTGGTCTACCGCATAACTTAATCCAGAGCAGACACGTATCTCGGTTGAGATGTGGCTTGAGAAAGGGTAAAGAAACACACACCGTCGCCCAGCCTCTCAGGAACCTAGTGTCGAGTGTCATGTACCCCATGCACACCACTTGACCATTTTAAACTGAAAATGACAAAGAAAAAAATGAATTAAAACAGACTAACTGCAATGCATTTCACTGGACGTGGAAGCAGAGAATGTCCGAGTGTATTGGGTTAGCTGCGCACTGTGATTGGCTCATCGCGTTTGAGGGCAGGGCTTAGCCATAGGTCAATTCTTAAAAAAACAGGCCTTGACCACCTAAATATGGACAACTACAGACCAATCTTTGAGCAAAGTCCTTGAAAGGGTTGTTGCTTCACATTTACGAACACACTTGTATACTAATGGTCTTTTTGAACCTTTTTAATCTGGATTTTCGCCCATCACATAGCTCTGAAACTGCCCTTCTTTGGGTGGTCAGCGACATTCTTTTGTCCATGGATTCAGGGCTGATAAACATTCTGATGCTCCTTGATTTAAGCGCTGCGTTTGAGACAGTTTGCCATGAAATATTGATCTCTAGGCTTTCTGATATTGGCATCACTGGCTCTGCTCTTTCCTGACTCATTTCATACATCAGTGAGAGAAAGTATTATATCACTATACAAGGGTTTAGATCATCTGCCACTTCCTCACTTACACAGTGTTGTGTGAAACATGCATTTTGTTCAGTTATTCTCAGTGTAAACTGTTTACAAGTCTTCATAAATAGTCTTTTATAGGAAATACAGTTTTTATATGTAAACTGTTTATACGACTTTATAAATAGCCTTTTATTACAACTCTTTTATGTAAGTTGTTTATAAGACTTTAAAGATAGTCTTTCATTTACAAGCATGAAATTACAAGAGTGATAATGAAATTGTTCATACAATTAAACCCAGATGAACTACACAAAGACATGATTTGATAAAAATGTTTATTTGCTTTATAAAAGAATACACAGAGACATGATTTGATAAAAATGTTTATTTGCTTTATAAAAGAATACACAGAGACATGATTTGATAAAAATGTTTTATTTTTGTATATAAAAGAAAACACAGGGAGCCATATTTGGAAGGATTATTTTATTGAGGAAATTAACAAATAAATGAAATGCAATCAGTATTAAGAAACGAATATTAAGCATGCATATAGTAAGGAAAAAGCAAGTATTACCTGAGTGCTTTGTTCCCGAGCAAAAGGAGGAGAATGCTGAGAGGCCGAGCTCGAAGGAGAAGAATGAAAGTGCAGAACTTTTTATAAGAGAATTGTGAAAGGACTGAAAGAGTTAAACATGGTTCAAGATCTGGGATTGGACAAGTTGTGCATATGAGATTGAATATGTAATAAGGAGGTGTGACATGTATGTACATATAAAAAGTATGTGTAAGGTAGAGGCTGGAAGATGAGCCAGCCCCTCCATTGTTTGATGTTCCAAACCTGACACCTGCTGGTGGAACTTGTCAACTTGTACTTTGATTGAACTATAACTTGTTAACTTGTTTGGAAACTTTAAAGGAACACTTCACCCATTTCAATGTAGTCGAAATGTAAACGTTTTTTTGAATTTGGTGCCCTCTTGACCGAGAAAAGACAGAAAATAACCGAGTGGCGCATTTGTATGTAAGACAACAACTCCCACAATGCACCACATTGCACAGCTCCGCAAGCCACACCCACTAATCCAGAACAGCGCAAACTTTCCATCTACAAGGCTACCGTTAGTTGTCACCAGAGTTTGAAATTCATTTCACACAAAATGTCTAGTTAGTTGGTTGTGTCGAGCAGGACGATCGAGGGACGTAAGAGGACGGCTTGTCGCGCGAGGCCGTTGGCGTGAGTGATAATGAAAGAACACCAGTGAGGCACACGCTGGTCTTGTCTCTCATGGAGGAGCGAAAGCATAATGTGGAGTGACAACAGCAGATCGAGAAAGAAACAGGCATGATTTTATGTTGTGTTTTGTTTTTGTTGTGTGTGGACAACAGTCGTCAATTAGGGGCTGATTTTGTATCTCGGATACAGTATCCGTTTTGTATTTGTTCGTTTTACTATTAAAATGTTTAAATGTTCGCTGGTTCCCGCCTCCTTCTTCCCACAACAACAAACCCTGTTAACGTTACATTGACAAACTCATCAGTGAATTACTGCTCGTTTGTATTTCTTTCTATATTGTGAATTACTGCATGATACCTGGATGTTCAATCAGGCGAAACTAGGATGGTTCACATCACAACACAAACGTCCGTGTGCTCGTCTGTTTCTGCTCGAGCCAATCCGGGCTCTACTTTTAGATATTAACCATATGTATCTGATTAGGATCCTCAATGAAATATCTGCTGTATATTCTCTATTGATCATCATACAGGTGAAAAACAGTGATCATTTGGTAAAGACAGAGTATGATTGAAAAGTGCACATACCCTACATTTTAGTTCAGAGCAATAAGCTATTTTAAGAAAATTATATATTAAGATATAATTGAGATCATTAGATCATCTCATTTAATAAGAAACAACTCACACCAGAATCTACATTCAAGTCTTATGGGAAAAGTTTTTAATGTGGGTTTTGTCATGTATGACGTTGGAAATAATCAAGAGTTTAGATAGAGATTAACATACATATATGCATATTATAAATGTGTGTTCACAGCATAGAATGTAACAAATAAATAAAAAAAATTCACATTATTCCAATATCTACTGCAATGTTGTCCCAGAAACCACGTGGAGTATGTTTTAATGCAAGGAGAGATCAGGGTCTTACAGAGGAGGCCATCTCACAGGCAACAAAATAGAGTAAAAAAATGAATTTTAAAGTGAGCACAGAAGACATGGGACAGCTAAACCCATACGCATTAGCTAAATTTGAGCCAGACAAACATAAACCTGACCGTCAAGAACCTTTTGTTCTCGAAATAAATTATAGACCAATTTATTTATATATAGAAATAAATTGATATCTACCTACCCTAGCTTTATCAAGCTAATCGTTTATAAAATAATAAACGTTGCTGCGTCATTGCTAAACAATAATTTAGCAGATTATTTAACATATCTCAGTCTCCCCCTACTGGAAGCATCTGGAACAACAGGGGGCGCATATCCACTGAAGAGCCAGTTCGTTCTCAGATATCAAGTCATCTTGTTTTTCAATTAAACAGAAACGTGTGATTACATTTTAAAGCAGACCAAAGTGTTTACCTTATAATAAATGTAATTATCCGTACGTTTTAATTACACGCATTGTAAATAATCTACAAGCATGCCACGCGTCACGTGACTCAGACTTGATTGAAGAAGTGTCAACAGTTGACTTTGTCCACTTCACGGTAAACATTTTCCTTTTTAATTTCTGCCTGAATATGTCCACGGATGTTTTGGAAGCTACAGTAAGTCGATTCCTTTGACTTTTTTTTTTCGTATGAATTAAATGACACGCGGTCAGAGCTCACCTTTATTGTATTAGCTCGTTAATTTAGTGTGTTTTGTTGTTTAGCCGTCTTGATGCATACTTGCTCTGTTGGGGAACACATGAAACATTAAAACTACACTGACATACACACACTGTAAGCCGAAAGCCATTATATTATATTATGAATGTATATTTGAACTAAAAGCATGAGTTTATGTTCTTGTATTTTTCATATACATCTTTGTCATATTGTATTGTAATTTTATACAGTTTATTAATTACAATTTGGCCAAAGCAATGCTTTGAGGTGTCTTCCCATGTTTTGCTGTTTCATGCGTCTTATGTTTTTGAAATTCTGCTGGCAAGGCGAGTTTATTTATATAGCACATTTCATACACTATGGCAATTCAGAGTGCTTTTTACACAGAAAGGAATTACAATAATCACAAAATAAAAGCAATAAAAATTTAAACATTTATAAAAATGAATTAAAAGAGATATATGATAGAGTTATCAAATGAATTTAAAGAGATACACTTCTCATCTGGTAAACACTGGTGTATCATATTTTTCACAGTTTCCAGTTTTACTTTTATATAGTTTTAAATTAATACAGATGTTTGGATATCATACCATCAAGATCTTACACAGAAAATAAACTGGGGAACAATAAACCCTCACTAATAATAATTGAGATTCATTGTGTGTGTCTAAGCACTGTGACAACATGCCATGTTAAAGGAGGCAGTGTGTGTTAAATTAACAACTGTGTCTTTTTTTCTTCTGGATAATAACAGTGCAAATGTTCAATAGTAGTTTTTGTGGCTGTACAGAAACTGAATTGTGAAACTAAACCCTGAGAAATCTCCAGTGAAATCCAGCGGTGATGTAGAAGGTCCTCTTCTCTCCTCATGTCCTGATGATGATCCTGCCGTGTCCCACAGGAGATGCTGGAGGTGTTCCGGGTCACAGACCTGCGTGTCGTCCTCACTAAGATGGACCAGAGTCGCGTCGGGCTGAAGAAGGACCTGCTGAAGCGAGTCTCAGACCTCCTGCAGAACGAGTGCAGTCCCAAGCTCCTGTCCTCCATCCGAGAGCTGCACACACTCCGACAGCGTTCCCGAGGCTCCAAGCCCAGTCCCGTGCACGTCATCTCCATGCCTGAGTGTGTGTCGCCCACACCTGTGTGTGCAGAGACGCAGATGATCACACTGCCCTTCTATCACACGCTGGACACTGTTCTGCCCCCGACACCGCTGGGTAATGATGATGCGGAACGCTGTTAATCGTGCCTTCTGTGTTAGGATCTCTTATATTTATAACGGTTAGGGGTGTCACAATATATCGCAATACTGAACTGTGGATAGGTGATAGATTGATTCGTATGACTCTCGTGATTGATTCGGATGACTCTCGTGTTTGATTCACAATGATTCGGATGACTTTCGTGTTTGATTCACAATGATTCGGTTGACTCTCATGTTTGATTCATAGTGATTCGGATGACTCGTGTTTGATTCACAATGATTTGGTTGACTCTCGTGTTTGATTCACAATGATTCGGATGACTCTCATGTTTGATTCACAATGATTCTGTTGACTCTCGTGTTTGATTCATAATGATTCAGATGACTCGTTTTTGATTCACAATGATTCGGTTGACTCTCGTGTTTAATTCATAATGATTTGGATGACTCACGTGTTTGATTCATTATGATTTGGATGACTTTCGTGTTTGATTCACAATGATTTGGATGACTCTCGTATTTGATTCACAATGATTCGGTTGACTCTCGTGTTTGATTCACAGTGATTCTGATGACTCTTGTGTTAGATTCACAATGATTCGGTTGACTCTCGTGTTTGATTCACAATGATTCAGTTGACTCTCGTGTTTGATTCACACTGATTCGGATGACTCTCGTGTTTGATTCACAATGATTCGGATGACTTTCGTGTTTGATTCACAATGATTCGGTTGACTCTCATGTTTGATTCATAGTGATTCGGATGACTCGTGTTTGATTCACAATGATTTGGTTGACTCTCGTGTTTGATTCACAATGATTCGGATGACTCTCATGTTTGATTCACAATGATTCTGTTGACTCTCGTGTTTGATTCATAATGATTCAGATGACTCGTTTTTGATTCACAATGATTCGGTTGACTCTCGTGTTTAATTCATAATGATTTGGATGACTCACGTGTTTGATTCATTATGATTTGGATGACTTTCGTGTTTGATTCACAATGATTTGGATGACTCTCGTATTTGATTCACAATGATTCGGTTGACTCTCGTGTTTGATTCACAGTGATTCTGATGACTCTTGTGTTAGATTCACAATGATTCGGTTGACTCTCGTGTTTGATTCACAATGATTCGGTTGACTCTCGTGTTTGATTCACAATGATTCGGATGACTCTCGTGTTTGATTCACAATGATTCGGATGACTTTCGTGTTTGATTCACAATGATTCGGTTGACTCTCATGTTTGATTCATAGTGATTCGGATGACTCGTGTTTGATTCACAATGATTTGGTTGACTCTCGTGTTTGATTCACAATGATTCGGATGACTCTCATGTTTGATTCACAATGATTCTGTTGACTCTCGTGTTTGATTCATAATGATTCAGATGACTCGTTTTTGATTCACAATGATTCGGTTGACTCTCGTGTTTAATTCATAATGATTTGGATGACTCACGTGTTTGATTCATTATGATTTGGATGACTTTCGTGTTTGATTCACAATGATTTGGATGACTCTCGTATTTGATTCACAATGATTCGGTTGACTCTCGTGTTTGATTCACAATGATTCGGATGACTCTCGTGTTTGATTCACAATGATTCGGTTGACTCTCGTGTTTGATTCACAATGATTCGGATGACTCTCGTGTTTGATTCACAATGATTCAGATGACTCTCGTGTTTGATTCACAATGATTCTTATGTAATCAAACCTTTTTCCCTTATTCAGATTAATTTTAACCTAAATTCTTGATGTTGAAAGCATACATGAGTGTATAATTGCTCATGTTTCAGTGCCCACGTGTGGAAGAGTCATGCAAATCTCGAATTTCTTGATTCATCTCAATGAGAATCAAGAGGCTCAGGTCCAGAAGAGCCGGTGAGTTTCTGTCCCGTCTTTATTCATTCATCTGAAAGTTTAAGTCATTTTGCTTCTCAAGTAAATGTATTTTGATGTAAGAATGTTTAGATATTTGAGGACGAACTTCATTTTTTTGCAGTATTTGGGGTTATAAAATTTAAATGCATTTTCAAATTTCATTAACCTTACAAAAGATCACTTTTGCGCACATCTGTTTATTATTTTCCTAAAAGAGTGACGCATGCAATGCAGAATTCAAATGAAAAGAAAACTGAACCAAATGTGCATTTTAAAAATGGTTAAGGGTTCTGAAAAGATAAACCTGAGTGAGTCGATTCAGCAAGGAAGTGAGTTGAGTCTCCAATTGAGTCCATGATTCAGACCGATGACTCTTGTGTTTGATTCACATTGATTCGGATGATTCTCGTGTTTGATTCACATTGATTCAGATGACTCTCGTGTTTGATTCACGTTGATTCAGATGCCTCTTGAGTTTGATTCACATTGATTCAGATGCCTCTTGAGTTTGATTCACATTGATTCCGATAAGTCTTGTTTCTGATTCAGATGACTCTCGTGGGTGATTCCCATTGATTCAAATGACTCTCGTGTTTGATTTGGATGACTCTCATGTGTGATTCACATTGATTCGGATGAATCTCGTGTTTGATTCATGTTGATTCAGATGGCTCTCGTGATTGACATTGATTCAGATTACTCTCGTGTTTGATTCACATTGATTCAGATGACTCTCGTGTGTGATTCACGTTGATTCAGATGACTCGTGATTGATTCTCCTCTCAGTCTGACCGTTTTACTGCTTCTGTGCCTCATATTAAGTTTGATCAAAGTATAATTGTTTCATTATAACTTGTGTTCTTGAGGTATGTAAAGCTTTTGTCTTCCTTCCATCAGGACGTCTCGGTCTGGCTCGACGTCTGTTCAGGTGGTGCTCAGGTGAATCTTTACTGCAGAAGAATCAAACAAATGACCTGTACTGCTGTTGAACCGCGTTCATTCTGAAAACGTTGTTAAATGTGCCTTTCAGGATTTGTTACAGTGAGAGCGTCGGTGTTGAAGAAGATCAGTATCCACCGAACATCAGTGTTTTAGTTAATCACATGATCTGTCCTGTACAGGTGAAGTATGAGATTGTCCTCATTCACTTACACTGTTTAAAATATGTTTTTAACATTACAGAGTTCATCATGAGTAGGTTTTCCGTAAATGTATAAACTGCATTCTGTGTCATAAAAATTAAATGCAAAACACCATCATGATCACTTACAATAATGCAAAAAAATACTCTTTTATTAAGAAAACAATACAATAGAGATAAATGCATAAAGAAAGCAACAGCAAAAAACAAACATTGATGAGGAAAAAGCAAGTATCAGACTGATCAACTTGATCAGAGCGCTTAATACAAAAGAAAACAAATAAACAAATATACAAATAACATAAGGCAATATGGATGAACCTATCTCTACTACATACATACACACACACATATATACACATACATACACACACATTGTGTAAACAACAACATTAGATGTAAAATAATGTGCAAAACTATTTCAATGTCAAATCTGAGGATTCTGGGTCAGTTTACAGTTTTTCACTGTCAATTATTATTATTATTATTTTGGTGCTTTTTAACTTCCAAACACTGTAAATATGAGCATATTTTAAATGTCCTGTCCAGTTGTTCACTGTGTTGTAAGGTAAGTATTTTACACGCTTTTTTGCTGTGGTTTTATTTACAGTGTTGTGTAATTTTGTCTAATTTCTGTGTGTTGTTCGCAGTGTTCCTATTCATCCGATAAAATGGGGACCGAACCTTCCCGTCCGTGTCGTCCGATCGACATCACGCCCAAGCTGTACCCTTCATTCACAAACCGAGTCTCAGTGGAGTGGGGAAACTTCGGCAAGGTACATCTGTCTTACAGCATGAATCCCACATTATAATATTCATGAGGAGGCGTGTCTATTCAGTTGACTGATGGGGAGTGTTTGGGGGAAAAAGTCCCCCTGTGCTTGAAACGCTATTGGCTGAACTGGCAGTGGGCGGAGTCACACAGACCAAAACCAAAACACACGTTCCCACACAGAACACACATTTTAAAGTAAAATAACTGGCTGTAGAAGTGTTTTTCAGAGGTCACCACATCTCAAAACATTGTTCAGACGATGTATTTCAAGACATTTGTCACGTTATTTACTAGCGTTTGTGTAGAATTATTGTTTGTGTAGAATTGTGTCTGTGTATAATTAGTGTCCGTGTAGAATTATTTTGTCTGTGTAGAATAATTGTGTGTCTCTGTGACAAGAATTATGTCAGTGTAGAATTATTGTGTCCGTGTCCACGTAGAATTATTGTGTCCATGTAGAATTATTGTGTCTGTGTAGAACCATTGTGTCAGTGTAGAATTATTGTGTTTGTGTCCACGTAGAAATATCGTGTTTGTGTAGAATTATTGTCCGTGTAGAATTATTGTCTGTGTCCGTTTAGAATTATTGTGTTTGTGTAGAATTATTGTGTCTGTGTCTATGTAGAATTATTGTTTGTGTAGAATTATTGTTTGTGTGGAATTATTGTGTCTGTGTAGAATTATTGTGTTTGTCTCCGCATAGAATTAACGTGTTTGTGTAGAATTATTGTGTCTGTGTAGAACTATTGTGTCAGTGTAGAATTATTGTGTTTGTGTGCATGTAGAAATATCGTGTTTGTGTAGAATTATTGTCCGTGTAGAATTATTGTCTGTCCGTTTAGAATTATTGTGTTTGTGTAGAATTATTGTGTCTGTGTCTATGTAGAATTATTGTTTGTGTGGAATTATTGTGTCTGTGTAGAATTATTGTGTCAGTGTAGAATTATTGTGTTTGTGTCCGCGTCGAATTAACGTGTTTGTGTAGAATTATTGTGTCCGTATAGAATTTTTGTGTCTGTGTAGAATTGTGTTTGTTTAGAATTATCATGTTTGTGTCCGTGTAGAATTAATGTGTTTGTGTGTAGAATTATTCTGTGGCTGTGTATGTGGTGAGGCTGGTGTCGTCTCAGGAGTTGCTGGATGAGCTGCGCAGGACCTCGGTGGAGCAGCAGGATCTCTGCAGACTCAGAGGTGTGTGTATGTGTTTGTGTGTGTCTCTCTCTCTTTGTGTGTGTGTGTGTCTCTGTGTGAGTGACTTCCTCTTATTGATTCATTTATTTTTCACTTTGATAGTTTCTGAGAAATTGTGCTCCGATCCAGAAAGTGAGATCTCTACAACACGTCTGCAGATATCACTGATTTGTCCAGTAAGTAAAAGCTAAATGTTATTTCCACTTCTGATGATGAATGACATGATGAATGTTTGATAGCAAAGCTGCATTTTACAATAGTCAAGTGGGCTCAGCTTTAATGTAGCCCTTCAGCATCTTCAGGTGATAACAGGAGTCTGCGTGTGTTTGTCAGCTGGCGAAGATGCGCATGAGCGCCCCCTGTCGGGCCCGAGGCTGTGCTCACCTGCAGTGCTTCGACGCGTCCTTCTATCTCCAAATGAACGAGAGGAAGCCGCGCTGGATCTGCCCCGTGTGCCACAGATACGCCCCGTATGATGCGCTGCGAATCGACAGGTAATCACCCGTACTAACACACCTACTGATTTTCTTGCATGTTTACTGCCATCTATTGGCGAAATAATGCAAGCAACTCCTGTTGCTGTGTACGGCCAGGGACTATTTTCTCCGGCGGAGGGATTTTACTGCATGGAAGTTGCATTGATACAAATTTTTCGGCTTTAATATTGTATTGTGTGGTAACCGTTTTATAAAAGCAATAAGGTACGAGAAGCAATATCAACAAACATATGTTTGCGTTGCTAAGAGTGTTTACTAGGGCGGTGTTGTGATACATAGAAGTGTTGGGTGAAAAATCAATTTATGGTGAATAAAACACAGCGATTGACCAATCAGAATCAAGGACTGGAACTAACTGTTTTATAATTGGTAATTAGTTTTTTGATTATCTGTGCTCTGCTCTTGTCCGTAGTTTGCTATGTGAGGTTCTGGAGAGTTGTGGAGAGGACATGGAGGAGGTGGAGCTTCTGTCGGACAGCACCTGGAGAGCCGTGAGACGCCACAAAAGCAACCAGTCGGATCCACTTCCTCTCAAACACAGTGAGATCATCCACAGATGCATTATATCGGCTCGAGACAGACAGCATGCTGATCCACTAATAGAGAAACATGCTACAATATATCAATATTATTATTATGAATCAATATTTTAGAAGTTCTATCTATCTGTATGTCTAAGGTCTTCGGGATGGTTGCTAGGGTGTTGTTATGCTGTTGCTAGGTTCTTTTGGATGTTGATGGATGGATGAATAGATGACAGACAGATAGATGGACCATCCATTCTTCCATCCATTCATTGTTCTATCCATCATTCCATCCATCCAGAGTACCCTAGCAACCGCATAACACCCTAGAAACCAGACTACCCTAGCAACCATCCTGAGTAGCTACCGCATAACACCCTAGCAACCATCCCGAGTAGCAACCGGATAACACCCTAGCTACCATCCCGAGTAACAACCAGATAACATCCTAGCAACCATCCCGAGTAGCAACCGGATAATGCCCTAGCAACCATCCCGAGTAGCAACCGGATAACGCCCTAGCAACCATCCCGAGTAGCAACCGGATAACGCCCTAGCAACCATCCCGTGTAGCAACCAGATAACACCCTAGCAACCATCCCGAGTAGTAACTGCATAACACCCTAGCAACCATCCCGAGTACTCTAGCAACCGCATAACACCCTAGCAACCAGAATACCCTAGCAACCATCCCGATTAGCAACCGGATAATGCCCTAGCAACCATCCTGAGTAGTAACTGCATAACACCCTAGCAACCATCCCGAGTAGCAACCGGATAACGCCTTAGCAACCATCCCAAGTAGCAACCAAATAACACCCTAGCAACCATCCCGAGTAGCAACCGCATAAAACCCTAGCAACCATCCCGAGTACCCTAGCAACCGCATAACACCCTAGCAACCAGAATACCCTAGCAACCATCCCGAGTAGCAACTGCACAGCAACCATCCAAAGTAGCAACCATCCAAAGTAGCAACGCCCTAGCAACCATCACGAGTAGCAACCGGATAATGCCCTAGCAACCATCCCGAGTAGCAACCGCATAACACCCTAGCAACCATCCAGAGTAGCAACCAGATAACGCCGTAGCAACCATCCCAAGTAGCAACCGGATAACACCCTAGCAACCATCCCGAGTAGTAACTGCATAACACCCTAGCAACCATCCCGAGTACTCTAGCAACCGCATAACACCCTAGCAACCAGAATACCCTAGCAACCATCCCGAGTAGCAACCGGATAATGCCCTAGCAACCATCCCGAGTAGTAACTGCATAACACCCTAGCAACCATCCCGAGTAGCAACCGGATAACGCCTTAGCAACCATCCCAAGTAGCAACCAAATAACACCCAAGCAACCATCCCGAGTAGCAACCGCATAAAACCCTAGCAACCATCCCGAGTACCCTAGCAACCGCATAACACCCTAGCAACCAGAATACCCTAGCAACCATCCCGAGTAGCAACTACACAGCAACCATCCAAAGTAGCAACCATCCAAAGTAGCAACGCCCTAGCAACCATCACGAGTAGCAACCGGATAATGCCCTAGCAACCATCCCGAGTAGCAACCGCATAACACCCTAGCAACCATCCAGAGTAGCAACCAGATAACGCCGTAGCAACCATCCCAAGTAGCAACCGGATAACACCCTAGCAACCATCCCGAGTAGCAACCGCATAAAACCCTAGCAACCATCCCGAGTACCCTAGCAACCGCATTTCCGTCCTTCGGATGAGACGTTAAACCGAGGTCCTGACTCTCTGTGGTCATTAAAAATCCCAGGATGTCTTTCGCAAGAGTAGGGGTGTAACCCCGGCATCCTGGCCAGATTTGCCCAGTGGCCTCTGTCCATCATGGCCTCCTAATCATCCCCATATATATACCAATTGGCTTCATCACTGTCTCCTCTCCACCAGTAAGCTGGTGTGTGGTGAGCGTTCTGGCGCACTATGGCAGCCGTCGCATCATCCAGGTGGATGCTGCACACTGGTGGTGGTTGAGGAGATTCCCCCCTCTATGTGAAGCGCTTTGAGTGTCCAGAAAGGCGCTATATAAATGTGATGAATTATTATTATTATTATAACACCCTAGCAACCACCCACCCTTCAAAGCACTTCAAACTCTCGGATGCGGTTCCTCAGTGTCTAGTTTCTGTGTACTGTGAGCTCATGATCGAGAGGAAAGTCTGATGTGTGATTTTTCCCTGATAGAAGGAAGTTCTGATCCGGTGGGAAGCGTCGTCGTGGATCTGACTCAGTTTTCCTCTGACGATGAGGATATCCAGAAAGAGGAGACCGTTTCTACACATCTACAAGACCACAGTGTACATTTTAGAAAATCTGGCATAGTTAACTTCTGGACCCAAAAGTCAGAAAACCCATAACTAAGCAACAGACCTGTTTTAGGAAGTGTTTTTGTTCTATATTGATAATATTAATGAATTATGTTGGCAACTGTTTTTAGCATATAAGGCTGAAAGACCAACTGATAACTGACGTGAACCTTTTGTCATTTAATTTTCTGTTTTTTTGTTGTAAATCATAATTGTGGTGGCAATAAAGTTTCTTTATGAGATGAGACTGAAAGCACTTGTAAAATCATTAGAACCTCACATTTTATATTTATATTGTTTGAATGAAAATTGTACATTTGAATTAACAAAGCATTTGCAGCTTATCTGCACAAAGAAAAATAATAACATATTAGTAACATTATACAATAATTTCAAATATAATGCATTTAGTAAACCTAATATTAACAAAATTGGAACAGCATAAAAATAAATGTTTCATTCCGTTTTAATTTAGCCATTTAAATTCAGTGAGCTTCATTGTAATGACAAACAAAAACATATTGTTTATACATTATACATGCATATATTGACGTGCCTTTTTTGCAAGAGCAAAATAAGTTAAATAAAACAGCATTAATGCAGCTAGAGTACATAAGAATTAATAAAATAAAACAATCAAACAAATTAAATGAAATTACAGCGTAAAATAATCATTTAAAAACTATAGTAAAACGTGAAAAAAATACATTTATTTTATCGTTCATTATTTAGTCATTTCGATCTCGTCTCGCGATAGTTGCCGCGCGGGATCTGCAGTCTCTGATGTTTCCGGTAAGGGGCCGAAACGAAACTCACCGCACCCTCCGGATCCTCGTCGTCCTTTACCGGGACATTCCGTTCACCGAGACTGGCTTAAAACTCACCACGGGTTTCGGAAACTCCTTTCCCATCATATGAGAGAGACAGTGATCGCTGACAGACGCTTTAAACCTCAGCAAACACACAGACTGATGCTAGCAAGCTAACAGCATCCTCTCGCGCGGGCTGAGAAATCAAAACAATGTGTTTTTTTATTACTTGTAGTTCATTTATACGAAGTTAATGTGCTTTTCGCTCAGTTTAAAAGAATGTCATGTGTGTTTAAGCGGCAGTAGCTCATGCTGATTATACGTTTACAGGTGATTTTGTAATATACCTGTATAATACAAGTTAAATTAGCGTGAAGTGAATGTCTGAGTTGTGCACGTTCATGCACCTAGTTTTATTATAAATTAGTTTTTTTCATAATTATGATCAGATTTGGATAGGAAACAGGTTTTTTTCTCCTGACCAGGTAATCTGGGAACTTGATCAGCTCGATGACAAGCTGTACATTAGAGTCATTATTGAGTAAAGCTCAGTCTGGGCTCGCCTTTTACTGTCCCAGAGATTGAAGGGTTTTCCACACGTCAGTCATGGCTCCTAAAAAGAGACCAGATCCCATAGTTATAACTGGATCCGGAGAAGGACAGACAACCTCTACATCCATAGATGCCGTGTCAGAGTAAGTAATAAAGCTGTATATAGTCCGAAATACAGTAGTCAACACTTGAAGTGGAGTAAAAAAGTTGACCTACTAGTACAAAAACGTTTTGATCCACTTCAATTGTTGACTACTGTAATAAACACATTGTGTCACTTCAGATTGAACTAAATGGCTTGTTTACTTTTTTTTCCTGAAACCTCAGAGCGAATCTTGAGGCTCTGCAGAAGAAGTTGGAAGAGCTGGATTTAGACGAGCAACAGAAGAAGCGTCTGGAAGCTTTTCTCACGCAGAAAGCCAATCTGGGCGAACTGAAAGATGATGATTTCCAGCATATCTGTGAACTGGGAGCTGGAAATGGAGGTGTGGTCAATAAAGTGTGCCACAAACCCTCTGGTCTCGTAATGGCCCGCAAGGTGAGTCGCAAGCATTCGGTTCGCCATCTTTATATCACAGAGAATCATTTTTCACTCGTGCTCAAATATCCAGCGTTTCATGTCAAATACTAGCATCACATGACCACTTTTAAACTGTGATTGTCCTGTTATTCCCTCGACAGAAACCCAATAGGAGTTTTCCATTGGCTTTTGAGTTATTGCAGTAAATTAGCTCTGACTGCGACTGATAAAAATGTATGATTCTTGCTAGGGTTGCAAACGGGTGGATCATTTCTGGTAAATTTCCAGAAACTTTCCATGGGAAGTTAAGATGGGGAATTTGGCAAATATTCCATAATGAATGAAACTGAAATTAAAGGGAATTAATTGGAAATACAAACTGTATCATATTAAAAAACATACATATACACATTTTGTTTGGTCATTAGCAGACATGCATGCAACTAAAGCAAAAAAAAAAAAGGCATTGACTTTGAACTTTACTGGCCCATTTCACAGAGCAGGCTTAAAGGGATACTCCACTTTTTTTTTTTTTTTTTTTTTGGAAATAGGTTCATTTTACAACTCCCTCAGGGTTAAACAGTTGAGTTTTACCATGATTTTCTGATATTTAGAAGACTATCAGTAACCAGACAGTTTCTGGTCTCATTGACTTCCATAGTAGGAAAAAAATATACTATGAGACCAGAAACTGTCTGGTTACTGATATTCTTCTAAATATCAGAAAATCGTCTGAATGGATTCGAAAACTGTAAAACTCAAATTTTGTTGTAAAATGAACCTATTTCCAAAAAAAAAGTGGAGTATCCCTTTAATATGCATGTTTGAGCTGTCTTCACTGAAAACAACTAACAGGATACGAGTCATTTAAATCAGTCAAATTGAACAATTATTGATACTTCAGCAAATTCTAATAATATATTAACCAATGTAAGTGTCATTCTAGAAGACATGTAAACAATCAGCAATACAACAAGAAGAAACTCATTACAAATAATACAACAGAACGAAAATACAAATAAACAGTGTTTTAGGTTTTTCAGGAGAATGTCATGACAATTGTGTTCAGATAAGTAATAGCCTACAACAAAAAAATGTAATAATCAAATGTAAAATAACACTCGATAGTCTTACTTTATGGATTAAAATATAGATTAATCCTTATTAAAGGAGTAGTTCACTTTTAAAAATACGTTTGCTGATAATTTTCTCACTCCCATCCGTCATCCAAGATGTCCATGTCTTTCTTTCTTCAGTCGGTTTTTGATGAAAACATTCCAGGATTTTTCTCCATATAATGGACTTCAATGGGGTCCAAACGGTTCAAGGTCCAAAAGAGAGTTGGAAAAAATAACAAAGTTTAAGTTTTAGAAGCTCAAATGCTCACCTTGCTCTGTTCTGTAATGCGCCATCGTGACTCTCCTGTTCGAACTCGTTCATCAAAATGAACGAATTTTTTTTGAGTCTTTTTCTAGAATCAACAAAATGACTCGAAAAAAGATTCGTTCATGCCAGAGCGTTCACATTAGAGCCAGACCGATATTATCGGCCGATATTAGGCATTTTCCAAACTATCGGTATCGGCAGTTATAATGGCCGATAAATGAATATTTCAAAAATACAATAAAAACGGACGAAACACGCTTGAAGCATGTCATGAGTGTTGGAGTTGTATAGTTTGTCCACCAGAGGGCGCTCTACACCGTTCCTGTTGGCAACACTCGTTGAGTTGGTCATTGCTTGAACAACAATTAAAAGATCATCCCCATCAGTTCTCTTAACTCAAATAAGCAGGACAAAATTTGTGACTATCATGTCCAGTTTTAAATAAATAAATAAATAAATAAAATATCAGCCGATATATCGGAATATCGGATTTTATAACCCAAAAATATTTGTATCGGTATCGGCCTTCAAAATCCTTTATCGGTCGGGCTCTAGTTCACATGTACTCATTACACGTCTCGGTGTGCTGCATGTGTTTGTATCAATCTCTCTGTAGTTAATTCATCTGGAGATCAAGCCTGCCATCCGGCACCAGATCATCCGGGAGCTTCAGGTCCTGCACGAGTGCAACTCTCCCTACATCGTGGGTTTCTACGGCGCCTTTTACAGCGACGGGGAGATTAGCATCTGCATGGAGAACATGGTATGCTCTGAGGCTTAAACGCCATCTTCTCGGAGTACACCAGGTTTCCAGTCGTTGATTTCATTTTAAAAGTATGTTAATTTTACCCTTTGTGTGTGTGTGTGTGTGTGTGTGTGTGTGTGTTTGTCCACAGGACGGAGGATCTTTGGATCAGGTTCTGAAAGATGCTCGAAGAATTCCCGAGGAGATCTTGGGAAAAGTCAGCATAGCCGTAAGTGTGCTTGGTCTAATAATATGTCCAGTCACCTTTATTTATACAGTGCTTTGAGTGTTTCAAAGCAGCTTTACAGAGATATCAGGAAAATCATGCTTTAAAGTTTGTTTCCTGATGGAAATAGCATCACAGTATAGTAAGTTCAGTGATGATTAATTTTTGTTGTAAAAAAGTTATTCATTTTTATACATGCACTGCTGGTCAAAAGTTTTAGTTTGGTAAGATTTTTTATGTTTTTAGCCTCACCAAGGCTGCAATTATTTGATAAAAAATAGAAGAAAAAAAACCCTGTAATATTGTGAAATATTATTACAATTTAAAACAGCGGTTTTCCATGTGAATATATAGTGAAGTGTAATTTATTCCTGTGATGATTACAGCATCATTACTCCAGTCTTCAGTGTCACATGATCCTACAGAAATCACTCTAATATGAGGATCAAAAAACATTTATGATTATTATCCATGTTGAAAACAGTTTTTTACATTTTTATTTCAGGATTCTTTGATGAATAGAAAGTTCAAAAGAACAGAATTGCTTTTGTAACATTAATCACTGCCATTCAAAGAAATTAGAAAATACTTTTATTCATCAAGGATGAGTTGAATTGATCAAAAGTTACAGTAAAGACATTTATAATGTTAGAAAAGATTATATTTTAAATAAATGCTGTTCTTTTGAACTTTCTATTCATCGTAGAATTTTGGGGAAAAACATTGAAAATAATAATTGATGTTTTTTGAGCATAAAATCAGCATATTAGAATGATTTCTGAAGGATAGTGTGACACTGATGTGTAATCAGTAACAGTAATGATGTTGAAAATTCAGCTTTCAAATTACATTTTAAAATATATTAAAATAGAAAACAGTCATTTTAAATTGTCATAATATTTCACAATATTACTGTTTGTCATTTTTTTATTTTTTTTTCATCAAATAAGCAGCCTTGGTGAGCAGAAGAGACTTCATTTAAAAACATAAAAAATCTCACTGATCTAAAACTTTAGACTGGTAGTGAATATATATATATATTTATATATACAGCTTGTATAGGTTTGTCACCACATACATTTTTTTCACATCTAAAATTTTTTTTTCTTCGAACAGGTTTTAAGAGGTCTCGCTTACCTTCGAGAAAAACACCAGATTATTCACAGAGGTAAAAACAAAATAAAACAATTTTGAATCTGTCCAAACGTATGTATTTGTGTAAAATGTTCATGTTCCTGTTTTTCACAGATGTGAAACCTTCAAATATTCTGGTGAATTCTCGTGGCGAGATCAAACTGTGTGACTTCGGTGTGAGCGGGCAGCTCATCGACTCCATGGCCAACTCTTTTGTAGGAACGCGCTCGTACATGTCGGTATGTTTCATTCACTCGCCAACTCTGATTTTTACTTGTGTTTGGCGCTTTGCGAGTGTTCATTTTAGGTTGTGAGTATATAACGCTTCAACTTCGAATTTTAAACTTCTTAATAGCCCTAAGCGAAGAACAAAGAAGAAATTTGCCATTTGAAGTGATTGTGTATGATTTTTCCTTTTTTAAATACAATAACAATAAAAAAACATCACACAAGACACAAAGCAGGCAACAACAACAACAACAAAAACAAAAAAAGGAAAAGAGAGATAAAATTTAAAACTAGGGCTGTCAAACGATTAATCGCGATTAATCACATCCAAAATAAAAGTTTGTGTTTACATAATATATGTGGGTGCACTGTGTATAATTATTTTGTGTATATATAAACACACACACACACACACAAATATAAAATATTTATATTTATATATAATATAAATTATATATAAATCTACATACATTATACATGAAAATATTTCTTAAATACATACAAGCATGTGTGTGTATTTATATATATATCAAATAATTATACACAGTGCACCCACATATATTATGTAAACAAACTTTTATTTTGTATGCGATTAATCGCCATTAATCATTTGACGGCCCTATTTAAAACTGTTAGAAAATCAACTTTTATCAAATCAAGTTATTTTTTTTAGCTATTATTAACATATCAGTAAGCTTAATAGCTTTTAGTTTCAGTGGTTAGAGTGGTGAAATGGTCTAATAAACACCACTGGATCCAATGGAAAGTACTATTGGGGTGAAAGGGAGGGGTGAAATGCTGTTGTTAAAGGAGTAGTTCACTTTAAAATGAGAAGTAGCCCATGATTTACTCGCCCTCAATCCTGATTTACTCATCCTCCTAGGTCTATATGACTTTCTTCTTTCAGACGAACACAATCAGAGTTATATTAAAAACATATCCTGGCTCTTCTGAGCTTATTTCCAATTGAAGGAAATCACAAAATGCATTTTAATGCTGTCAATTAATAGAAGCAGGTGCCTGTGCATTATAATGCAACTTTTGAAAAAAAAAATGTATTTAAAGATAATGAGTTGCCTAAGTAGTAGACAACAAGCATGTTTGCATGTCCTCACTAACTATCATTACATTTTCATTGAATATCAAACAAAAAGTGCAAATAATACCAAAATATTGTTGCTAATTTAATCATATGTTGGTCTAGTCTATTGTATTTTCGTTCACTGTTGTGAAATGGAAAATCAATAATCGCTATTCGAGAATCGTTAATATTCGAAAATCGACTGTAATCGAATCAGGACTTCAATAATCGTAATTGAATCGAATCGGGAAATCAGACAGATTAACCAGCCCTATTTATTAATATTGCTCTGATTGTGTTCGTCTGAAATAGGAAAGTCATGTACACATATATATGACTCGAGGTGAGTAAATCATGGGCTACTACTCCTTTATATTGGTGTAATCTAGATTGTGATCGTGAATGTTTGAGTGAGCTGATGTTGTGTGTGTGTGTGTGTGTGTGTTCAGCCGGAGAGGTTGCAGGGCACTCATTACTCGGTGCAGTCGGATGTGTGGAGCATGGGTCTGTCTCTGGTGGAGCTGGCCATCGGCCGCTATCCCATCCCTCCTCCCGAAGCCAGGGAGCTGGAGGGCGTGTTCGGCAGAGCGATGATGGACGTGGGCGACCCGGAGACTCCTCGACCCAGACCCCCGGGCAGACCCGTCAGCGGTGAGCAGTAATACACGCCTGGCAGCACAAGAGCATTTCTTTTCTTTTTTAGATACGATTAAAAGTATTAACATCACCTAATAAAATCTCTGCGCAAAACTTTGAATAATTACGGGGGGGTTATGTTTTTTAATGTCTGCTTACCCAAGGCTGGATTTATTTGAGCAAAAATAGTGTAAAATTTGTGAAATATTGGTGACGCTTTACAATAAGGTTCATTAGTTGATGTGTTCACTAACATGAACTAGAGCCCGACCGATGAAGGATTTTGAAGGCCGATACGATACTAATATTTTTTTTGGTTTTTAAAATCCGATATTTTTTTTATTAAATATTGTTGGATTTCACACGTGTAAAAGAAAAGCTAACTTTTCTGCACAAGATCCGTTTGATACTTTTTCTCTATCTCTAAATGTTCACTCCTCGCAAGTATTACATTTTACAATGCAGGGACTGTAACTAGAGATATGCTAGTTATAAATACAGTAATCATTACTTTATTTAGGCAGAAAAAGTTCATTGTGGTTTCCAAGCTCATTAATGTTAACGTTAGCGGTCTTAGCGGCATTAGCTAGCTTTGTGGTTAGCTAGTCCATAATTTAGCAATAGATAACATCATACTACAATTTGTAAAACATACATTGTTTTATGTATGCCAAGGAGAGATGATTAAAGCGTGTTTAAATATTCATTTATCGGCCATTATAACTGCCGATACCGATATTATGGAAAATGCCTAATATCGGCCGATAATATCGGTCTGGCTCTAACATGAACTGACCATGAGCAATACATTTGTTACTGTAGTGTGTATTGTCTGCGCTATTAGCATCACCGAATGGAATCACTGTTAAAAAAAGTTTGTAATATTATATATATATATTTTACTGTCTCTTCTGAACACAATTTTTGCCACACCTTCCAATTTACAGGCCATACATATTTTTTACCAGCCATTTTTGCTAAAACAGGAAGTTATGACACCAAAATTATAGATGTATTAAGATTGTTTTAAATGTTTGTAAAAGAGTCTCTTCTGCTCACCAAGGCTGCTTTTATTTTATCAAAAATATAAATACCTAAAAAATACCTAAAATAAGGGTTCTCTATTTTAATATATTGTAAAATGTTGTTATTCCTGTGATCAAAGCTGTATTTTCAGCATCATTACTGCATTCTTCAGTGTCGCATGATCCTTCAGAAATCACTCTAATATGATACTCGGTTATTATCAGTTATTGTTGGTGCGCATTTGTTAGAAACACTTATTATGTTCAATGTTGAAAGCTATTTTTTGGAAACTGATGCATTTTATTAATGATGAACTGCAATTTACTTTTGTAACATTATAATGTCTTTTTTGTCGCATTTAATGCATCATGCTGATTAAAAAAAAAAATCATTTTTGTATAAAAAAAATTATACCAAATTTGTATATTAGTTATCAGTTTCCACAAAAATATTAAATGGCAAAAACACTGATAATAATCATAAATTTTTCTTGATCCTCATATTAAAGTGATTTCTGAAGGATCATGTGACACTGAAGACTGGAGTAATGATGCTGAAAATCACAGGAATAAATTACACTTTACTGTATATTCAAATAGAAAACAGATGATTTACAATAATATTTGTATATTTCACTGTTAAAGTGCATTAAAAATACCACATAAACAACATTAAACTCTGTATTTTCAGTGAACTGATGTGACTGTTCTCTTTCAGGTCCTGTCATGGCTATATTTGAGCTGCTGGATTATATAGTCAATGAGGTGAGGGTCTCACGCTTCAGTCTGGGTGTAATATAATCATCAAAATACTGTATAGATGCTTGTGTCAATGTTTATGGGTCTGAACTACAGAAGATTAAGTTGACAAATTTCTGAGGATTTTAACGTCCAGGTTAAACAGACAAACAAGTGCCACAAATTACACTTTTTAATGGTTTATTCAGTCAGATATTCAGTCAGATTTACAGTACAGATTTTCCACATTTTGTTATGTTATCTTATTACAAAATGGATTGAATTCAGTATACAAACAATACCCCATTATAATGACAATGTGAAAAATGAGAATATCATTTTTTTTTTTTTGTGCAAAAGTTCATTTATTTCAGTAATTCAACTTAAAAAGCTGAAACTAATATATTATATAGACTCATTAAATGCAAAGTGAGATATTTCAAGCCTTTATTTGTTATAATTGTGATGATTATGGATTACAGATATGAAAAACGTTTGCACGATATTTAAATTTTTTGCGGTTTCGCCTGATTCCTTTAACACACTGTGAATATATGATCTGCCGCTGTTATTAATGATATATGAGTGTAAAAGCGTGTAATAATGTGTGTGTTTTCCATCAGCCGCCCCCTAAACTGCCGCATGGCGTCTTCACGCCTGACTTCCAGGACTTTGTGACCAAATGGTGAGTTGTGTTCAGTCGAGCATCGGTGTGTTTCAGATCGTGTGTGTGTGCAGATTGAGTTTAATGCAACGCTTCAGTACCTAAATCATTCTACTTTGCATTTTATTCCTAGTCTCATTAAAAACCCTGCGGACAGAGCGGACCTGAAGATGCTGATGGTGAGAACACATTCCTGATGTTTACAATTAGCAATTAGACCCATCGAGAAAAACTATAGTCATATGAACACACAAACTCAAAGGTCTTCTCGGCACCCCGTCAAAATAAAAGTTTAATAAACTTGTAGAAATTGTGACAGAAATATATTAATGTTGTACAGTAGGATATAACTACGTACAGTAATAATTAAGTTTATTTTTTTTGAAGAATATCAAGACAAAATCAAAATTAAATATTAAAGTTTTAGAATAAATGCACCTGAACTGTAATCATTATATATTTTAATGCAGAATTTGTCAAATGTTTGATGAATGAATAAATAAAAAGCAGATCAGTACAATTAAATCAACTCACAATATATACTAGTTTCTGTGAATATTAATTAAGAGAAACAGTTATCATACAAACTCAAAAGTTCAAATGTAACACGTCTAAATAAAAGTTCGGTTTAACTTGAATTGCGACTGCTAAATTCTCCCGTACAACAGTATAATATATTTCTATGTACAGAAAATAATTATTATTAATTATAATTTTTTTTAATTATTAAAAAATGATTATTAATTATTAATTTTATTTTTCAAGGTTAAATGTAAAAAAAAATCAAGGATTAATTTTAACAGTAAAGCTCTTTTAATTTCAAATGATTAAAAGATACATTAAGTTAATGTTTTATGCCTTTATTTGATTACCAGAAAAAGTAAAAATACACAACACTTTTTTTTCAGAAATTCTTTGTTTTAACGAATTCAATTTTTGATTATTAAAATTTGATTAAACCATTCAAATAGAATCAAGAAAACTTAAAACAGAAAACATGAAATGAAATGTGTAAAATGCATTTTTTCTAAAATTGTGTGTGTGTATATATATATATATATATATATATATATAATTTGAGAAAAAATGCATTTCATAGGCCCTTAAACATTTTGTTAAGCTTTTAATAAATTGTTGTTAAATTGTATTCTAGTTTTATGACTTCAACTAATCAGACATGCATTTTAACTTACTAAAATATGTATTTAACCATTCATTCAAAGTAAAACAGAAAAAAAATTAATCCAGAAAATGAAAAAAAAAAACTGAATTTGGAGATAAAAATAAATAAATAAATAATAAATAAATAAATAAATGTACATATCCCACTTTTCGCAATCTAATTCTATTTGATTAGATCACATCAGCTGTTGCTGGGCAGAATCATACATGTCTTTATTCCACAAACTGCATCAATGTTTTATTTTACACCTGTATCTCTTGTACAGAACCACACGTTTATCAAGCGCTCCGAGGTGGAGGTGGTGGACTTCGCTGGGTGGCTGTGTAAAACTATCGGGCTCAATCAACCCAGCACACCCACACAATCAGCCGAATGACACACACACACACACACACCAACGTTTACAGTGCATCTGATGGAACACCGGCAAAGCTGCTGCTTTCAAACTTTCATACACACGCGAATCTCATGAAACACGTCACGGTCAAAACCAAGAAATAAGAGATTTTGCTGAAAGAAAATGAAGCCTGTTTTTAGGATTATTTTGTCAGATTGCTTATTTTGTGCAAAATTCAGCGCAATCTTATTTAGAATAAATACAAATGTCATTTACGTCTTTGAGTTTGTCAAGAGATTTAAAACACCGTTTTTGACGAGATCGCATGTGTGAACGAGCTCTAGTGCCGATGATTCAATCTGGAAATAAAGCAAAATAACTGAGAAAATTAAGATAAAAACATCTAGTGTTAATTCAATCTCTTACAGATTCATTAAAAGTGGTTATTACTCCACACCTGCGTGAGGTCATTAGCCAACGTGGTTGAACGACCAATTTTCAGGAAACTGGATTTCTTCAACGATGCATCACGCTATTGTAGTGAAGTATCACACACCCCTGATTACTTCCTGTTTCTGAAGCCCCTCCTCCTGAAAGCACACTGTGCTCTGATTGGTTGGCTGGAGCGGTGTGTTGTGATTGGTCGAGCGCTTTGAGTGTGTTTGGGAAATGTCCCGCCCCTTCCCATAACCGCCAGTTTAACACACTACTAACTCACTCAACCAGGCCCCGCCCCTTTATTCTGCGCATTAATTATTATAATGAGGAATATTGAGACTGTATGTTGGTTATAAATAATATGTTGGTTCTCGAGACTACAATGGAGGCGTTTCAGGAGTTCAGAAACACTGACTCTGATATAGAGGAGAACTGGAGCTTTACATGATCAAACAACATTATTACACACTAAACACGATTTCATCTTTCATGAAAAACAAACTTTTTCTCATGCATACAATGTCAATATTAATACTGAAATACAGTAAGTTTCTAGTATAATATCAAAATACAGGACTATTTAATTCAATGAAAATTGTAATTGACTTTTATGTTTAATTTTCATGCAATAAACATCTAAATGGTCCTAAGAATAAGCTTCATTTCTTTAAGTAAAATATAACTGATTTTGTAACGCGACCTGGAAATGTTTTGGTGAGATTCGTCACGTCCGAGCACACGTATGTTCATCATGTGTAACGTGTGATTACAAACGTTTGCCACACACTTCACCCACAGACAGATGTTGCTTTAAGACTCAATAAAGTGATTGTAGAGGGGATGAACTGCTTCTGTTTTCATTTCTATTTCTACATTGTTTCATTGATAGAAATTAAAAAGTGTAAAGCAGTTTAGACTTAATATCAATTCTGTGCAAGTTCACAAACTTCTGCTTCTGTGCAAGTCTGGGGTTTTTCAGTTTTAGAAGTGCAATTGTAATACTATGGAAGCTTGTTTCTGCCACAGAATAAAAAATAACACCGTAATTGCAATTTTTAATCTCACAATTCTGACTTTTTATCTCAGAATTGCATGTTATGAAGTCAGAATTTGTGGGTGTCGGTGGTGATGGGAAATGAGCCAGGAAAAAAGTCAGTCTTTTTTTTTTTTCATTGGAATTGGAGTTTATAACTTGCAATTGCGAGTTTATTTCTCTTTAATTCTGGCTTTATATCTCACAATTCTTTATATCTCACAATTCTGGCTTTATATTTTGCTATTCTGACTTTATATCTCTCAATTCTGACTTTATATCACAATTCTGGCTTTATATCACAATTCTGGCTTTATATCTCGCAATTCTGGCTTTATATCACAATTCTGGCTTTATATCACAATTCTGGCTTTATATCACAATTCTGGCTTTATATCTCGCAATTCTGGCTTTATATCACAATTCTGGCTTTATATCGCAATTCTGGCTTTATCTTGCAATTCTGGCTTTATCTTGCAATTCTGGCTTTATATCACAATTCTGGCTTTATCTTGCAATTCTGGCTTTATCTTGCAATTCTGACTTTATATCTTGCAATTCTGACTTTATATCTTGCAATTCTGACTTTATATCTCGCAATTCTGGCTTTATATCACAATTCTAGCTTTATATCACAATTCTAGCTTTATCTTGCAATTCTGACTTTATATCTCGCAATTCTGGCTTTATATCACAATTCTGGCTTTATATCACAATTCTGGCTTTATATCTCGCAATTCTGGCTTTATCTTGCAATTCTGGCTTTATCTTGCAATTCTGACTTTATATCTTGCAATTCTGACTTTATATCTTGCAATTCTGACTTTATATCTTGCAATTCTGACTTTATATCTTGCAATTCTGACTTTATATCTCGCAATTCTGGCTTTATATCACAATTCTAGCTTTATCTTGCAATTCTGACTTTATATCTCGCAATTCTGGCTTTATATCACAATTCTGACTTTATATCACAATTCTAGCTTTATCTTGCAATTCTGACTTTATATCTCGCAATTCTGGCTTTATATCACAATTCTGGCTTTATATCTCGCAATTCTGGCTTTATATCACAATTCTGACTTTATATCTCGCAATTCTGGCTTTATATCTCGCAATTCTGACTTTATATCTTGCAATTCTGACTTTATATCTCGCAATTCTGGCTTTATATCACAATTCTAGCTTTATATCACAATTCTGGCTTTATATCTCGCAATTCTGGCTTTATATCACAATTCTGACTTTATATCTCGCAATTCTGACTTTATATCTCGCAATTCTGACTTTATATCTTGCAATTCTGACTTTATATCTCGCAATTCTGGCTTTATATCACAATTCTAGCTTTATATCATAATTCTAGCTTTATCTTGCAATTCTGACTTTATATCTCGCAATTCTGGCTTTATATCACAATTCTGGCTTTATATCACAATTCTGGCTTTATATCTCGCAATTCTGGCTTTATCTTGCAATTCTGACTTAATATCTCGCAATTCTGGCTTTATATCACAATTCTAGCTTTATATCACAATTCTGGCTTTATATCTCGCAATTCTGGCTTTATATCACAATTCTGACTTTATATCTCGCAATTCTGACTTTATATCTCGCAATTCTGACTTTATATCTTGCAATTCTGACTTTATATCTCGCAATTCTGGCTTTATATCACAATTCTAGCTTTATATCATAATTCTAGCTTTATCTTGCAATTCTGACTTAATATCTCGCAATTCTGGCTTTATATCACAATTCTGGCTTTATATCACAATTCTGGCTTTATATCTCGCAATTCTGGCTTTATCTTGCAATTCTGACTTAATATCTCGCAATTCTGGCTTTATATCACAATTCTGGCTTTATCTTGCAATTCTGGCTTTATCTTGCAATTCCGACTTTATATCTCGCAATTCTGGCTTTATATCACAATTCTAGCTTTATATCACAATTCTAGCTTTATCTTGCAATTCTGACTTTATATCTCGCAATTCTGACTTTATATCTCGCAATTCTGGCTTTATATCACGCAATTCTGACTTTATATCACGCAATTCTGGCTTTATATCACAATTCTGGCTTTATCTCGCAATTCTAGCTTTATCATGCAGTTCTTGTGTTATCTCGCAATTCTGGCTTTATATCTCAATTGTGAGATAAAAAGTCACAATTATCTTAAAAAATGTTTTATTCTGTGGCGTAAACAGGTTTCATAAATGCACTAAGTCTAATAATTGTTTTTATGAATGTCCCTCAGAGGAGGTGTAGAATGGTTCAGAGTGAACAGATTCATAAGCATAAGCTGTTAAAGGTAAGAGTGTTGATAGTGCCATACACTCATGCGACTGATGCAACAGCTCGTCCCGGCCACCAGGGGGCAGTAGAGATATTTAACACACCTGATCACAGTTCTCAGTGTCTGAGGACTAATTAATAAACTAAACAGGTTTTTGTGAAGTTGCACTAAATATCTCAAAATAATAACATGCTTATTTATTTAGATGTTCCTTCATCTCCTTTTTTAAACAATATTTTTGAACAAAATTCTGTGTAAACACCCTGAACACGTGTTGAGCATCAATAATGGTCGATTGTTTGACTCTAGTCTTTCATAAACTGACACTTTTAAGGTCTCTGGGTTATTGACATGCATGCATGTGGAATTATTTAGGGTTTCTTTTACCATTTTTAATTGTTTGGTACAATTTGTTTTTACATAATTCTCACTGTTATTAGAATATTTGATTTAAGCAACAACAAAAAAAGTGAATATAGACAGCCTTTATTCACTGGAATATTATCTTATCAATCAAAATGATTGGTTTTCTACCACTATCTAATCTAATGATGACATGTAAACTAAGATTTATAGTTGGTCACAATGCACAGTAGCTTCTAAACAAATGTTTTATAATACAATATATGATTGTGATGATCAGTAACCCTCTCATCATTATTAATGCTCATGAAACACTGCAAAAAAAATATGTTCTTCCTCCATATTTGTCTTGTTTCCCAGCAACTGATCATTAATCATCTTATCATCATCTAATCATTCTTAAATCAAGATACATTTATTTGAGAAGCAAAATAACTTGTTTTCTGATCCAGATTAAGTGAGTTTGTGCATAAAGTTAAGAAAAATTATTTGGTTTTCACTCTGATTTTTTTTTTTTACCGCACTGATATTTTTAAAGGGCTACTAATTTCTTTTATTGCCAATGTGTGAACAGTTTGTAACTCAACTTAAAAAACGAGACGGTCCGCGACTTCATAGCTCGTCTATGAAAGCCTGTAGACTGATTTTTATGTGAAGAAATCGGGGCGTTTTTGCCGGGAAAATCAAACGGATGTGACGTTTACGCGCGCCGCTGAGAATCGCGCTTCTATTCTATGACACATGAAATGAATGAAAAAAGCCATGCTATACTAATATCAATGTGTCATGTAGGCCTACAGAAACGGATTAATTCTCTCAAATGCAGTATAATAAACCTGTCATTTTAATGACCTCATCTGTCACATGATCATGAATCGGGACTTTTAATCACGTTCAGTGTCTTGGAAGTAAGTTATAGAAGTAAGAGATTCTGAATTTTACAAACATAAAGTCACTTAATTTATAAATGTTTCAAAAATCTGAATCAAAAATACAATCATCTTGTACCCGTAAATGTATAGAATGCTTAGATGTTTGTACTGGAAAACAAGACTGAGGAAAAACTTTTTTTTTTTTTTTTTTTTTTTTTTTTTTGCAGTGCATGACTCATAAATTCATAACATTTACTAGTTTTTTCAGCATGAAGGTTTTGACCCGCTCTGTGATTCTACTAGTGGTCCATGTGTACAGAGTCGTGATGCATCGCGTCTGGGTTTCACAGTGTGTGTGTGTGTGTGTGTGTGTGTGTGTGTGTGTGTGTGTGTTCATCATGCGAGAATAAAAAAGACAGGGTGACTTTAAACCCTCGCTCACTGCCGCAGTCAGACAGCAAACTCTGCAGTCATTAATATGCAAAAATGCAAATGAGTGGGTAATTAAGAGCAGGAGTTCCACAGAGGCTCTTTGATTGCTAATGAATTCTAATCTGCAAGAACGGGGGGATGGGT